ACCACTGGAACCAACTTGTTTACGTGAATATTTGGCAAGCAGGAATTTTGACATTTTTAGGAATTTTGACATTCCAGCACATAAAGAAATTATGAAGTTATTTTATCAGGAAAATACCTTACACTTTGAAACAGGGCCAGAATGGGGCCTATTTTCAGTCCATGACTCTAATACCCAAGACCTGCCTCCACAAGACCAACTTGTTTCAACAGGATTATATACAGATAAATAATAAATAGCATACCGAACTTTTTAGAAAACATTCTACAGTCAAACTTTTCAATAGGCACAGTAAAAAAATACTGCATATACAAATTAAATCAGACAGCAATAGCTTTATGGATTGAACTATATGCTCATCTATATAAAGTGTCATAAACACCACTATGAAAACCTTGATATTGACCAAAATTAAATGGAGTCTATCGAATTGATTCCAGAAGTCCACTCCGTCAAACCTGTAATCAAAAGCTGCATTCACGGCATGTCGTAGTCACTGTGATTTCAAGATGACAACACATGACGTTCTACTTGGAGCTGTTCACATCCTTGGACTCGGATTCGGAACTATCGCACTATAAATGCCTAAACATATCGCTTAATGAATCTGGGGTGGTCAGGTAGTACAAGTTGTAGCTCTCAGAAAACTCCCAGTTCACAAGTAACGAGTTCCAGGGCAGGACTTAGGGTGCCGGGGCCCCTGGGCTTGAGGTTATGTTTGGGCCCTACCTATGCAATACAAATGCCCTCAATTAGAACATCATTATGGAGTAAAATAAACTACACAAAATTTTTTATATGCTTTGAGGTTTTAGTACAATTAATATGTTGTTGTGATATTGTAATAAGATAAACAGCATGTGTTCTCTCAGTTGAGAGATCAAACCCCTAAAATAACACAGATTTTAAAAAGCCAGATATGTGTTAGTATTATAAAAAAAATTATTGTCACATCTGTGTCCATTTATGTCACATTCTTAAATTAAATAAATTCAATCCGAATAAAAAAAGATATGTTGGCTATCAACAGTCAAATGAAATCACTATCAACAAAATCCATGGATGGTTTTCGCTTAAGTTGTTAAGTTTAAATATAACATTGTAATGTATAAATAATACATGATTGCCAAACTGAAATAATAATAATAAAGTTATTCAGTAACTTGTACATTTGCGATTGTGCAGATATTCACAGAAAAACAGACTCTTGTTTGTGTGACTCCTGTTTCAAAGGCATATGTTACAAAAATAGAAATTCATTAAATGGCTTTTTTTTATCATCTTGATGAAATGTCTGCCCCACTACGAGAGAGAGCACTCAAAACTCTTCAGGCTATATAGCTTTTTAAAGTAGCTAGTACCCCGGCTGGCCCGTTTAACTCTCTTGTGTGCGCAGTTGAAATGCGGCTAAAAATTTTGACCGGCATAACTGAAGAAATCAAACAAACATAAACGGGTTCAGGCGGGGCCCATGGGCTGCAGCCCAGTCAAGCCCAATGGTAAGTTCGTAAGGCCATGACGAGTTTTACAGGTTGTTATCTTGAAATCACGATAATTACGATATGCCATGAACACACCTAAACACACCTGAACACGCTAATCAGGGTCTTCAAGATTAGGCTACTTGCCTACAGGCAGGGGAGTTTCAGGGTTGGAGGTGCATCTGACCGCTTTAAAAACCCTCCTGACCATCCGGTTCAGCACATTTTCCACTGTTTTCCACAGGTCGAGAGGATGAAAGCTCGGGTGTGCTGCTCGTTGATTGCTGTTTTGTTGTGTCTCTCGGTTTACTTGAGCACAACAGACGCCAACAAACTGGTCACAGGTGAGATCTTTTAAGTTCATTACACAGCGTGAAGAAAAAATGTAAATAAGTACACATTATGACTTTAGGCACATGTCATATAAATATACAGTACAGATGTTAAACTTTACTTGTTGTTGTAGTTTAAATAGCCGAATACAGTTTATATCCCCAAGTTTATTATTTACTTAAGTTGATTTATTATCTTTAAGATCAGAGTTTATATGACCGCCTGTCATATCGCACATTATGGGTTTTGTGTTCTGTCTGATTTGCTACAAACTATATTTTGCTTTATTTCTTGTAAATGAAAATGCTTAATGTAACTGGTTGTGATGGTACACTCATAAACCAAAATGGTGCTAAATAGCACTATACAGCACCTTTTGTCACAGTAGCCCTGCCAACAGTGGTTCTTTGGCTCGCAATCATAGGAGAGCCTCTTTTGGCACTACATGGCACCTATTTATATACCAAATTATGACTACATGATGCAAAGCAGTTAATATATAAACATGGCCCCGTTCATGAAGCGTTAGCAAAACTAATTTTAGTGTAAATTGTTCGTAAAGCTATTCTGACGTAAACTTTTGAATTTATGAAATGTTCATATTGTTGGTACGAAAAATTTACACCTGGGACAATATTCACAAAACATCTTAAGGCTAAAAGTAGCTCATAACTCGCCGATTTAGGAGAAAATCTTAAAAAAATAATGGGCGTGTCAATCCTAAATTTAGGACTCCTAAATTTGTTCTAAGGGTATTTCACAAAGCGTTTTAGCGCTAAAACTAGCTCCTAAATCTGTGACACGTTAGGAGTAGTGAAGAGGACTCCTAAATCACTGAGACCAAATCTGAACTATCCTAAAATGGCTGTTGCCAGCAAACTGCCTCGGAATATGAACACTTTAGAAACATTTGACAATGAGCTTTTAAAAAGGTATCGGCTTTGGTTTGGAGGTTATCCCAACTCCAAATTGTTTTTATTATATCCTTAATATATAGATGTTCTTTCATTATATATATAGATGGTTTTCTTTTATGTTTGCATGTCTTACTATCAGCCATGATTATTCTACTCTGTTAATTAAAAGGCTGTTTATATGCATATTGTTTACGAGAAGCATGCATATAAGAGGCTGACAATTAGCTGAATATACTTGTTTAATTAGTGACACTTAGCCTGCATTTTAAAATCTTTATTTGAATGTGGCAACATAATATCGCGCTCTACAATATTTCTATGAATAAATCTGACAGACTATCAGCCAATCACTGTGTGCATAGTTAAGTATGCTGACATCCATAGCAACGAAGTCAACCGCCCCCTTACTCTTAGCTTAAGACTTCTCTCTATTCCTTAGTAAAAGTTTGTCTCCGCAGCTTTGTGAATGGGTTTTAAGAGAACTCTTAGCTAAACTTTTACTGCTATTTAGGATAACTCTTAGTGGTAAAATAAAATGTTTTGTGAATACGGGCCCTGATCCCTACCACATGTAAACAGTGCGTAAAACGTTTTGTTGCTTTTGGAAAACTGATGACACTGCATTTTGATGCACTATATAATATTTCACAAGTGAATATTTCACAAACCTGAGAAGGGAGTACAAAAGATTCAACAGCGTTCCTGGACATGCAACTTGCGTAATTGTCATTTATACGCAGGGATTACGCTAATTGTGAATGAGCATGCATGCGTGCCCTTTTTATTAATTATTGGAATTCATTAACATACACATTTAGATATCAAATATGCTGTTTACGAAGTGTTTGTTAATCCGGAGGAGCGTTTTCGGGGTTGTCTGTTTAATGGCAAATTACTTCTCATTTATTTCTGCAAGTTTCGTGAATGAGTCCCATAGCCTTTTTATTGAAATGGGTCACAATTTCAGTATATGACTGACTTCACAAACACCTCCTGGACCTACTGTCTAGCCTCTTATCAGTTTACATATTCATTCAGAGACCACAGCCAATCAGGTTTTAGCTTTCTCTCATCCTCCAATCCCAGATAGCGCACCTACGTCTGTAAAGATGTCTGTTAAAGATCGCTTTATCTGGAAAGCATCTGCTGTGTACAAACATCTGATAGAAATGTTTCAGACATCCGTTTTACATGCATTCTAAATCAGAAAGAGCTTAGACATTTTCTAGGCATCTGTTTGACATTTGATTGGAAACACTCTAAAAAATATATATCTTGCAGATATTCCTTCAGCGTAATTTAAATAACGTTTTTTTTTTTTTTTAACCCTTTACCCAACTAAACCAAAAGAGTTTGGGATCCTTTCAAGGACTGTACAGGGGCTCAATGGGGGCTTTGGAGTGGTTAAGGTGCTATATAGTGTAGAAGATTATGAATCAAAGTATGAATTAATCATGTATAATTAATATGAATATAGCCATTTATTAAGTTATTCTAGTATTTATTATTACTATCTAGACATACGTTTTATGGTAAAGCTGCACATCCTGTTTTGACATTAGACAAAACATATAAGGGAGCCTCTTCCTTTCACTTAACACAAACTGAGGCCTCCTATCTGCTTTCAGGAAACTGAGAGGCACAGCCAAAAAAAGGTAAACTATAACAACCATGTATGAAATGGAGCTGCTCTCCCTGGTTTCCCCTAATGATCCTCGTGAATCCTCTTCATTAGTGGCCAGGCGAAACTGACAGTTGTGCCGTTTCTAATAGAGACTGCTCTAGAAGGCATGCATGCTTTTGATATGATTGTTGGGCTGTGTGTTTACTCCCTGCTTTCAATGAGTTTCAATTAAAAGTGAATGTAACAAATAATTGCACCGAAACTGCAAGCAGCACATTGAATTAAACTTGAATTTTGAAGAGATTTGAGAAATGAGAAGAGAATTGACAGATTTTTATTATTTTTTTTTTAATTATTATTATTCAGTGATCATGGTTTTTCTCGTGTTTTGTATATCAGCAAAGCCAGGAGTATGTCCTATATTCAATCTTGATGGAGCAGTGTTCATAGCGTGTTTGGAGTTGTGTTCCCATGACGGTAAATGTCCGAATGATGAGAAATGTTGCAGCAATGGATGTGGGCATCAGTGTATGCCTCCGTATAAAGGTATTTATATTGTTATTAATGTGAATTAAATTAGTTTAAGAGTTAAATGCAGCGAGGCATTCAGTGATCTGCTTTCTCTATCATGTGTTTGTATAACAGAAAAACCTGGAGTGTGTCCAAAAATCAATCTTGAAGATGACATGATAGGAGATTGTGCTGAGATGTGTTCCCAAGACGGTCACTGTCCAGATGATGAGAAATGCTGCAGCAATGGATGTGGACATCAGTGTATGTCTCCATATAAAGGTATTTATATTGTTATATTAATGTGAATTCAATTAGTTTTTAACCTTTTTAAATGTAGTGGGCAGGACTTACGGGGCTGGGGGCCCCTGGGCTTGAGGTTATGTTTGGGCCCTATACCTATACTACAAATGCCCTCAACTAGAACATTATTATGGAGTAACACAAAATACACAAATTTAAATATGCTTTCAGGTTCATATACTGTATACATTTAATAGGCAACATGTCTAGCCTAGTCAATGTTTAGATGTAATATTAAAGGTGCAGTGTGTAATTTACATCGATATATTGACAGAAATGCAATATAATATACATAACTGTTTTCAGAGGTGTATAAAGACCTTACTTAATGAACCGTTATGTTTTTATTACCTTAGATTGAGCAGTTTATATCTACATACACCGCGGGTCCCCTTACATGGACATCGCCACCATGTTTCTACAGTAGCCCTAAACAGACAAACTGCTCTGCAGAGGGCGTTTCATCACTTTGTTGTTCTTGCGAATATAACAGACACAATGATGAACAAGTACATTAATATTCGCAATAACATCGGTTTATTAAATTAAGTAAATATAATTACCTAATTTTACCTTTTGTAAAGAAATCTTTGCTGTCTTTACCGACATCTTAGTCCTGTATCGGCCACCGTGGCTTGTCTAAAGGGAGGGGTGAGCGGGGGACTTAGCCGTTGGTTGCAGTTCGCAACCTCACCGCTAGATGCCGCTAAAATGTACACATTGCACCTAAGTAGTCACTATAATACAATAAACAGGATGTGTGATCTCAGTTGAGAGATCAAAACCCTGAAATAACACTGAGCAGAAACCAAAGAGATGTATTATGAAAATGTAGTGTCATATCTGTGTCCTTTTGTCAGATTCTTAAATGTAATAAATTCAATCTGAATAAAAAAACATGTTGGCTATTAACAATCAAATGAAATCACTATAAACAATCCATAAATGGATTTAGCATAAGTTAAGTTTTTAAATACAAAATTTTAATGTAGAAATGTTACATAATTGCACAAATGAAATGAGCTACTTTTTAAAATATGAAACTACAACCGCCAGTAGGTGGCAGCAAGTGACTGCCTTAATGAGTGAGTTGAATCCTTAAATCAACCGATTCGTTTAAAATGCTCATTCATTTAACTTGGCAAAGGACTGTACTTGTAGTCTGTTTGAACCATTTACTGCTCTGTGTAATGCTGAGAAACAAAACACTGTTGCTCGGAGAGGCATTGATGGGGCAAAACAGAATTTTGTGTCTGAAAGTTATTCAGTAACTTGTTGTTTATTGTACATTTGCGATAGTGCAGATATTCGGAAAAACAGGACTCTAGTTTGTGTGACAGGCTAACTCCTATATCGTAGGCATTCACTCATTAAATGCAGGGTTCGTTCAACCAATACATTTCTATGACTTAAGGCAATATTCATGACCTAATGCGCCATTTTTACACAAATGTTCGGAAAATGAATGATTATTAGTGCTAGACTGTGCCAGACGTTACTTCATGCAGAGAACGTAAGTTAGGCTACATAATCACATAACTGAATGTTAAGTATATTGTAATTTGCTTAGCCAGTATTATAAATTAAACTCAGGCCCTGAATTTCATTTAAACAGTTTTGGTGGAAAACATTCAGGTACAGAAATGCTGCAGAAATGGAATAAACTGTAATTAAAAACAGTAAATTCACTGTAAATTAAAAAACTGATTAATTCTTAAAATTAAAGTTACAAAAGTTATTCAGTCAAGAGCAGTGAGTGATTTTGTCTTTTGTTTTTCACATTAATTAACAATAACCAATAGGCCTAATTAATTAACATTGTTAACATTAACATTTGGTATGAAAG